CCGAGCCGAGCCGAGCCGAGCGGCGCCGAGCCGAGCCGAGCCGAGAGGGGCCGAGCCGAGCGGCGCCATGCTGGGCATGATCAAGAACTCCCTGCTGAGCACGGTGGAGGCATGGCCCTACCGGGTGCTGAGCAAGGGGGAGAAGGTAGGTGGCGGGGCGGGCGGCCGGGCTCTGTTCCCCCAGCGGGGTTTCTGAGCCAGCCGGGCTGGATAAGGCGCTGCGGGGGGGGAGCGGGTGCCCTTCGGGCAGCGCTTTCCTCCCAGCCCGTCCGGGCAGCTGGCAGCTTCTCTATCCCCATGTCCTTCCCCAGGAGCAGCTCAGCTACGAGGAGAGGGTGTGCGAGGGTGGGTGGTTTGCGGCGGTGGAGGTGACTGGGAAGCCATTCGACGAAGCCTCGAAGGAAGGAGTGCTCAAGCTCCTCAAGTATGTCGGAGGAACCAACGACAAAGGTGAGAAATGCTCCCTGCCCCGCCGGGCTTGGCAGATGTTTGTGGCTGACCACCGCTAGGAGAGGCTTGGTGAAAGCCAGATGGATGGAGGCGACGGCACTGTCGGCTCGCCTGGCTTGTGCCTCCCAGCACCAGGGGTCTGTGATGGGGATGGCCCCTCGCTGGGAAAAATAAACTTGCCACAGGTCAAAGCATGCCCAGCCAACTCATGCTATGAGTCCACGCCTAACCCATCTCTGTTTCAGGGTAAAATCTCAAAAATGATTTGTTTAAGTAGGAATGAGTTACTTTGCAGCTGGAATAGCATGAGGAGAGGCACACGTATATCTATCACAACTCCCTGGGTGAGCGGTAGCTGATGACATCCAGGGTATCTATCTGGGGCACTTTGGTTCTGTGATATGCCCTTGTAAGCAGTGAAATAACTTTTATGACCTTGATATTTTATCATATACTCTGGCTGTTCATGAAAGGATAATGAACAACAAGCTTGCTTTTTAATGGTACTTCGTAATGTTTTATAATGGTGCTTCCAGGTGATTGCTTCTAATTCTCAATTCACTAAAGTATGCGCATCAGTAATCATCTGTAGCAGGAGGAGAAGACTACAGAGTGGTTCTGAGGCACATACATTTGCTCTCACATTTTTCCCAGGCTACTGGCAGAGGGAGTTGTATAGTCTATATGGGCATAGGAGCTGGATGCAGAGGGAAATGGAATTTACAGCAGCATGTTTTGGATAGGCGATGATTGCTGTTGCTGTAGTAGAAAGGGTGCTTTCTATAACATGTGCCACAGAGACAGGTATGGTATCAAAGCAAAATAAATTAGAAAGATGGCTTGATCTCAAATGGTTCTGTGGCTACCTGATCCTGAGGGTTGGAGGTTCCCTACTGGTGAAAGAAGAAGAGGGAAGAAAAATGTTCTTCAGTGCCATGTGGTACCTCTCAGCAGTAATGAGCGGAAAAGAAGCATGCTGTTCCTGGAGTGGTGGACAGCATGGACAGTCCTGCTGAAAGCCAGAACAGCTCTGAGTTTTGGGGCACTGGAACTTGTAGGATGTCTGGAAGTATTTGGAAGGCTTTAGGAGAAAGCTTCTGTCACCCAGTATTGGCTCTGGGCTCACCACTAAGTGCAGATGATAACAATTTAAATAGTGATGTAGATTTACATGTGCCACTGGCCTGCCCCGGAACTATAGACCCTGTTGTGTTAGAGGTGATTTGTCAGAACAGAGTGTCTCGGTGGCATGAGCTATATGGTTGAGAGCCACAGGAGCAGGACCATTAATAAAAAGCCATCCAGAGGTCACCTGGGGCCCTTATCTCCCAGAGTCCTTGTGTAGTCAGTGGAGAGAGAAGTTTGGCCCAAGCAGAAGCCTAATGTGGCTGTTCTACATGCCCCAGACCCCACTCTTGATTGACTATACAAGGAGTTCAGTGTGAAGAGTTTTCCTAAACTAAAATTAGCTTTTGTGAATTCCCTGTTAATTCTGTGAGTTCCCGGGAACCTGGACTTCCTTAGTAACGTCTGTGTTGTCTCTTTCAGGGGTTGGAATGGGCATGACTGCTCCTGTCTCCATGACTGCTTTTCCTGCTGAAGATGGCTCCTTACAGCAGAAAGTGAAGGTCTCTCTGCGGATCCCGAGCCAGTTTCAAGCCAACCCTCCTTGTCCTAGTGATGAAAGCATTAAGATTGAAGAGAGACAGGAGATGACCATTTATTCCACGTAAGGAACGCATCCTGCGATTTCCAATCCCAAGTGCTGAGGTCTCTAGCGTGCTCTGAAGAGCAGTGTTGGTTTTACCAGGTGACTTGCTGGACAATGGGTGCATGTGGTAGAAGGAGATGGAGGGGTCTTTCTAGGCTGAAGACAGGTGTTTTGTGGCATTTCTTATCATTGGTCATGCTGCACCCATTTGGAATATGGATTTTTTTTTCACTGGGAAAACAAGTGCAGAGGTTAGACCTGAAAGCCTTTTTGTTTCACTTGGGGAGGTGAAGAGCAGGGGAGGATGAATATGAAGGTATCGAGTCATTCCTAATTTCTGAAAACTATTGTTTTCCGCACTTTCTGGGATCAAGATGGTTTTTAGTCATCAAGAATGTCTTTTGGTGTGGTTCGCATCAAACTGCAGGTGTCAGCTGAAGCCTCATTTAGATGGACTCATGCCAGAGTCCATCATGGAAACAAGTAGCCATTGTATTGCTTCAATTAGCCTTTGAATGTCTTCGGCTGTTGACTGAGAAGCTGGGCTCAAACTAGCATCACAATAGCAATAAGCTCTTCACCTTGTATGTAACCCCTTGGATGTTTCCCTGCCTCCTTGCTTGAACTATTTTGGTGGACTCTAAGCTGTCTGACTCCTCCCTTGCCTGCAACTGCTGCCTGACCTTTGCTGTGGGTGTGGGCCACTTCTGCAAAACAGGCTGTTTTGTCTCAAACCTTGGACCCGAGGCAGGGTGGAGAGGTGCTGGCTGATGTTGAAACAGTTCCTGGTGGTGGGAGTTCAATGTAAAACAGACCAATTTCAGCCCACCCCTTTTAAATAGCATTGTGGGCTGTAATTGCTAACATCTCTGTTCCCACCCCCCTTTTTCCTTGGGCTCACTAGAGTCTGGCTTCCCTTCATGGTCTGGCTTCCAGCAGATGGTTGTTCACGCCACAGTGAACATGGTTGTTGACAGCACTGGTGTAAGGACTGCAGGCTGAGCAGACTTGGAGATTACCGTGTGCTCTAGGAAGCTGTTCCTCTGATATGGCATTGATTCAAAGGGCAGGGCCATTCTGCTGATTGATATATATGGGTCTGTTTGGGGTCTGCCAATGCCTGACTGCACCCTGGCTGTGTAACCCTTGAGACTTAATCGATCACAAAGTGTGCTGGTTCACAAAGAACAGCACCTGCATGAGTGCATGCTGGTGGGACCTGGATCAAAATGCGTGGCTAAATATATTGTGGCTATATATTGTTCTCCCTCTCTTCCTTTCTGTGCTCTACCAGGGCTGCTCAGCACCTCTCTGTGCTTGGTTTCTTTGCAGGCAGTTTGGTGGCTATGCCAAAGAGGTGGATTACGTGAACTATGCTGCCAAGCTGGAGTCTGCTCTGGGGAGTGAAGCTGCATACCGCAAGGATTTCTACTTCTGCAATGGTTACGACCCCCCCATGAAGCCTTATGGCCGGCGCAATGAGGTCTGGTTTGTGAAAGAGTGAGCATCTAGCTCCCAGTGGTTCTGGCTTGCACTGATAGCCTCCCCACACTATGTCCCTGTCCTCTTCAAAATAAACCAATAATTTGGCAGAGGCAGTAAACCATCCTTTCCTCCCTCCACACCTATGCCTTGGTCTTTTATGGATCAACCATTTTAAAAGAACACTGCAGAGCCCTCTGACGATCCTGCTCCTTTGTTCCAGACCAAGTCCTCAACCCCACAGACTCTCATGATCTCTCGGTGGCTTGCTTTTATCTCCTTCATGCTCCCAGAGTTCAATCCTGAGACAGCCAAAGTACTTAATTAACACTGGTGCCTGACAGAAGTCGCGTCCAAGTGCTGGCAGACTATTAGTCTCACCTGAGGCAGGCAGGGGAACATGACGAAAGTGCGTACAGGGACTTTTTATCTTCTTGAGCTTGCTGCAGCTGTAAAATGCTGCTTTTATCTGTGCCATTCCAAAAGCAGTCTGAAGGGACATGAGCATTGCTACCAACACAGCGCAGTGAAAATAAGCATCCTTTACATTGACTCATAGTGTGCGGGAGAGCAATGTTCTGTCATCTGACTGAGAAATGTCATTTAGAGGAAGATCCAGGTTTCTGTTTGCAGCTATCCTTCTGTTTGAGGTGAGACATTTTGGGGTGTGTTATGTCCTCATCTCCGCTAGCAGCTGGACAATGTGACATGGAGGCCCCAATATCATTTCCTTGCCGCCTTGTTACTTGTGTGTAACATTTCTTTAAAACTAGTCTACACAAGGGCCGAAGCTGAAATGTGTGTGGTAATCTAATTGAATTAGAAAAATAGAGGCTGCGAAAAAAGCAGGTGCCTATTACTTGTGATCTGAGGGTGCATTTGAAGAATGGTGAGCATCTAGTGGAACTACTGTGGGTGTAGATCTTTAAAAAAACTCTTCTTAAATGGTGTTAGTTTCTGAAGGCCTACTCAGAGCAGTTGTCTTTAAAGGAAGAGGAAAACCTGGTTGTTCTTGAAAATAGGGGTTTATGTCAAATAATGAGTAGCCTTTCAGAAACTTCAAATACAATAGTAAAGGTGGGTCTTGCTTTAGGAAGACTGGCAATGTTTAACTGTTAGGCATCAAACCAGCATTTTAGCTGTTGGCTCTGCCAGGGAGGCAGCAGGATGCCCGCAGTGGGAACACGCTCACGCACCATGCTGCTCTGGGTGCCTGTATAATTCATTACCTCCACTAAAAGAGGTGTGTTCCTCTGATGCTTAAGTGCCCCAAAGTTCAGGCACTTTCCAAAAGCTATTTTCCCCCGGGAGCTGAAAGAGAGATTTGTCAGATGGCATCCCAGATTCTGTCCAGTCGAGCTGTTTAACACGCGCCTGCTTTCTGAGAACAAATCTCAGCAGTAACAGGGAAAAACCTGAGGTTCTGATGTGCTTTCCTTTTCTCTCTTGCTGAGCCATATAAGAGCTTTGCTGTGGACCTCATGAGAGAGTTTCAGTCACCTGTGTGCAAGAGCAGCTAGTCAGGATGGGTAAAAAGAGCAGATATTTAATTTAAAAAAAAAAAGGGAAAAGCTATTGGCTGCAGTTAGTGATTGCAGTGCAGGGGAGGATCAAAAGAGAAATCAAGACAGACAAAGAGTTGGGCTTTTGAAGGAGTTTTTTAAGGAGCAAAGGCCCTTCTAAGGCCGTCCCTGAATCCAAAGGGACCTATTCATGTCCCAGATTATTTTTACCTGTGTGGGTGAGGAATGGGGGGGCACAGTGCTGCCCAGTTCATGTGTTCCCGGGTTCATTTTGGCACTTGTGTGTAGACTGTGGATACAGTCCTTTCTGGCTACTGGTGGTGAATGTCCGGCAATGATCAAAATCCTGAAATTTCTCAAAATTTCTCCTGTGAAATCTCAGATGTTAGGAAGATCAATAATAAATCTGGTATGAACAGAGCTGCACATCTCAGCAGCATGTGGTTTTTTTTCCTAACATGCATACACTCTGAAAAGAGAGTGAGAGCTTCTGACCCAACAGTGACAGTAATCGCGTTGCCTGTGCAGCCCTGCTCCTGGCCTTTTGCATGCAGTAGGCAGGGTGCAGTTTCATAAACAGTGTTAACTGATATCAAAAGCTTATGCACACAGAATTGCCTTTTCTGTATGTTGTGGTTTAACCTGGCCGGCAGCTGAACACCACACAGCCGTTCGCTCACTTGTGGGATGGGGGAGAGAATCGGAAAAAAGGTAAAACTTGTGGGTTGAGATGAAGATAATTTAATAGGACGGAAAAGGAAGGGAAAATAATAATAATGACAAAAGAATATACAAAACAAGTGATGCACAATGCAATTGCTCACCACCCACTGACTGACGCCCAGCCAGTTCCTGAGCAGCGGCCACGCCCCCCTGGCCAACCTCTCCAGTATTTGTTCAGCATGACGTCATATGGTAAGGAATATCCCTTTGTCCAGTTTGGGTCAGCTGTCCTGGCTGTGTCCCCTCCCAGCTTCTTGTGCACCTCCAGCCTCCTTGCTGGCAGGGCAGTATGAGAAACTGAAAAGTCCTTGACTTAGTGTAAGCACTGCTCAGCAACAACTAAAACATCAGTGTGTCATCAACATTATTCTTATCCTAAATCCAAAACAGCACTATACCAACTACTAGGAAGAAAATTAACTTTATCCCAGCCGAAGCCAGGACCCTGTTCAAGCAAAGATGCCTGTGTTCTGTCTGCATTTTCTAGGGCTTTTAAATAAATAAAAAAATAATAATAATATTGTGATTTACAATTTTTGTGCTGATCATTGACTTTGTGAGCTCAGTGGGAGTTGTTGAGTTAAAAGACTTTACCTTGCCAGTTTATCTTTCTGTTTGGGGTACTAATCACGTCATATCATCTATAAATAGTCATAATGCTTTTTCCAATAAATTGCTATTTTAGGTATGGTGTGGCCCTGCATTATCTGACTGTGCAAGATGGGAGCTGATGGAGTGATCTCCTTCTTTGTTGGTTCCAGCCACTGAGAGGCTTTGACTGATTTATTTGTGTTAATGTAGAAACTAGGGGGCTGCTCACCTGAGGAAAATTGTGCATTCACTTGTGTGTTCCTGTGGCTGGGGTTCACAGGCAGTGTTCAGGCAAATATTCATGACTGATTTTCAACACAACCTACTACCCAGAAATGTTAGACATACTGTCATATTGAGGTCCATCTAGCTCAGTGCCCTGCTGCCAGTGATGGACAGTAGTGGACACCTGAGACAGATTACAGGATCAGTGCAACTGTGGGCTGATATGTCCTCTAAATATTCTCCCGTCTTTAGTACAGTGCTGCTCAGGGATATTTTTTATTGTGCTTGGTAGACCGTGATAGATTTTATCCCATGTCTTTGTCCGGTTGCTTTTTAGACTAAGGTAAGCTTACTATCCACGGCATCTTTTTTTCCTATGGCAAGGAGTTCCTTGCGTGTAGAATGGCAGAAATACCCTTTGGCTGAGGGTTTCCAGCAGGTTGTCTCTCTGCTGTGTAGGCAGCTGGGTCAGCCAGCTTTTTGATACGCCTCCATCGCTGCGGGTGCATGTTTGTTTGGACAGCCAGACTTGCCGTTGACATTAGAGGGTTTCCAGCACGCTCTTTGTGCTGCGGCCAGGAGTCAGAGGTGCGCTCTGGATTTTGACCTATAGCGGTGCGCCCTCCCTGCCACCACCCCGTGTAAGGAATAACCACCAGTGGGGGTCGTGATGGCTGCATCCAGCATATGCTGGACTTTGGAGACGGCTGGCAACACAATGGCCAAGGGCTGTCTGGCATAGCAACCCAGACATCTTGCTGGTACGCAAATAGACTGTAAGTCAATCATCTTACTCCATAAATAGTGAACAGCCCAGGGCCTGTTGACCTCTCTTGCATGGCAGTGGGCTGCACGCCAGGATCTCCCCTTGAGTAGGGACGCCTCTTAAGGTTACTCCTCGAGGTTGAGAGATTCCTTGCCGCAACAGATTCTCAGTAAGTGACTAATAGCTTGCTAAACTTTGAAATCTTAGCTAAGTGATATAAAGGATTGATTGCGCATATATAATACTTTAAACATAAACTGTTGACCAAGTCTGGGACTAGGATTGGATCCAGGCACACCTAGACTCCTCTCTGAGGAGTTTAGAAAGCAAGGGGGTCCTTTCTGAACCTCACAACTCAACGGGAGGGTCTCCCTGACAGTTTTGTCTGACCCTGTCCTCTATGCAGTAAATAATCAAGTGTACCTTGCCATTGAATCTTGTTAACTGCTGTTGCATTTGCCATTGAACTTTGTTAACTCACTGTTTTAGATCAATGAAGTATATTGTTGCTTCTCTCTTGCGAGTAAAGTGCACTCTCACTCCACCCGCGACATGACCCGAGGCCAGCATGGTCACAGCCGCTTTGTTACACGCAATTGACTCCTGAACTGATGTTAAAAAAAAAAAAAAAAGCTTTTTCTCTGTCCCCTCCAGTATTTGTTCTCCGAGGAATAATAATGCAGCAGACTGCCTAGAGACCTCCTTGCTTCTCTTCTGTGCCTGTGTAGTGCCCTTTTCTGTCTCAAGCAAACGCTGAAACAGGGACATTTTGGTGCTTTTCTGATGTTTGACAGGGAGTCATGACGTTAACTGTTGTGTGTGGATTTAAGACAACTGTGCAGGGGAAACTGGAAGAAGGACGTTTCTTCTTGCATAGGCACCTCGGTGCTGTTGGTGGCTGCCTTGCTGGGTTGTTGGGGTGCGGTGGGGGTGCGCAGCAAAGGCTGCATCGCTGCCCAGGGCCCCTCTCCCATTGCCCTGCTTGGTGGGGAAGAGGAGCACCTCCACAGCTGCCTGCGCTGCCTGCTGGGCTGGACGGGCTTAGGCGGGTAACGGCCTTGCGAATTATCTCTGCCTTCCAGAGACAGGAGTGGCCTTGCTGCTAATTAGCAGCCAGGCAGGTCCCTCCCAGCACTGTGCAGGGCAGTGGTGTGATGGCGATAGGGCCTGCCACAGGGAGGGCCACATTTAAACAGAGCCAAATTCAAAAGCATAATCTTGATGGGAATTATACGCATGCCGTGTAGATTTAGCTGTACTGGATATACCAGCTTCCTAAGCTGCCCCACTTAGTAACATAATCTGTGAGAGTTTTCCTGTGAGAGTTTGCCTCAACAGTGGCAAACCATATGTATTTATATATATGTACATGTATACCTGTACAAATATGTGTATATGTATGTGTACATGTATATGTACATGTATATGTATATATGTAGTGTATGTGTAGGGGCCTCCAGAACCCCCATTTTGACCTATTGGTTGGCTTCTGCTGTCGCTGACTAACTTGCTAATGCAAACACAGCCACAGGGCGAATGTTTGCAGACTGAGGTTTTAAGTCTGCTAGAATGAGAGCTTTGTTAGCTTCGGAAAGAAACACTTTCTTTTGTAGACACATGCCTAAATATATCTAACACCGCATTAAGAAGACAACAGCCTTTATAAAAGAGCTAATTGGTTAAGTTGCCCATATAAATCTGGCCAGACTTATAATACTCTAGTCACTTTGAGGGGATGGGTGATTTATGGTGAACGGGGAAGTAACATAATTGTTTCCCCATTTTCATCAATCACCATGGCAAAGGGTGCATGAGCAGCTATTGTGCTTGTGGTAGCAAATTTTCAGCTTTGCAAGGCTGCCCGAAGGCGATGGGACAGGGGTGGCTCCTAGCTCACATCGTCCCTCCTGCTGTAATTACACTAATACCTCTTTTATGATAGCACTCTGAGCAGCGACTCTCTTTCTTCTGTGACAGCATTTCAGCCACACTGAGCTAAAAAAGAAATGCATCTCTTTTAACGGGACCATAAGTAGCTTTGGATGTATAACACCTCTGTAAAACTGCTTGGCAACATGATTTATTGGAGCAGGATCAGTGGTAAAAGTGACTTCTCTGACAGTAATGGATGAAACACTTCCAGCGTAGCTACTCCGTCTCTGCTTCGTGCCTATGCCAACAGCAGGCTGGTTTTGTCAGCTCATTCATAATCTCTGCTTTGCTCTCAGCAGAATCTGTTGCACAAGACAGTTTTCAGCCATGGCGGATGCTTTTTTTCCAGTCCTCTGTGGGAGCTGCTGCAGAAGATGGGTCAGTGCAAATGCTGCTTGATTCCTAAGGTGCTGTCTGTCTAATTCCACATCCAGAGCCCATGCCTAGGTGAGATTTGGGTGCATGCCTCTCCGCTACCCCTCACTGCTGCCCACTCCCCACTTTCTGTGAGGAGAAACTCGAGTGAATGGGGTGGAAGGAGCCGTGCTGGTCTTAGACTGAATGTGAGGTCAGGCTGATCAGCAGCTCAAGATCCTGGGGCAGCCTCGGATGTGTCTTCTGTGCAGTCCCAGTGAGAAGACTGG